ATATTCAAATTTAAAAATATAAGGAGAAAAGAAAGGAGGTAAATTGTGTATATTATTCCATGATATAAGGAGAGAGTACAATTGATATATATAAATGTTTAAAACAATATAAAAATGAAATATAAATATTAAAACAGAATATAAATATATGAACATAAATGCACATATGAACGGAAAATGAAATATATTTTTTCTACACTAATAAATATATAATATACCACTTAAATAAAATCACAAAAAGAAAAATTAATTATAGCAATTGAAATTTAGCATAGATCTTTCATCTTTTAAGCTTCAATATATAATGATAAACAAGATTCATGGTAATGACATTAAATTATTATATTATAGTAAATAATTTTTTTTATATAATTGTAGTGATAGAATTATACTTATGATAATGAATTAAAAAATAAAAAATAGTTAAATAAACGATATCAAAACAATATTTTATATGATAAAAATAAATAATAAATAAAAATATTAAAAATAAGTAAAAATAATTAATTTTTAGAAACAATTTGATACATCATTGAATAAAATTACAAAAAAACAAATGTATAATTAAGGATATGATAAGATGAAAAATATTTCAGAGATTAAAATTTTTTATCAGATATCAAATTAGTCAAAACTATAGAGATAATGAAAATTATTTTCCTAAAGTAAAAAGAATTCTTTAAATAAAACAAAAATGAATAATAAGATAATGAAGAAGTAATTTCTTTATTATAAATTAAGAGTTTATGCTATTGAATACTTAAATTGAAAGTTAAATATTCTCTTGTAAGGAAAAATAATAAATAAAAAATTTGTCATTTCTATTTTGTAATTGAAGAAAGATAAACAATAAAATTATAACTAAAAAAAAAATCCATATTTTGTAATTGAAGAAAGATAAACAATAAAATTATATCTAAAAATATTTAGATTGGCTTGACAATAAGATAATATAGAAATTGGGAGAGAGAACTAAAATTAATTTTTGACATGATGGGTGGAATGCAAAATTATCTTTGAGACAAAATTATCCTATAATGTATATTAATTTAAATGCTAAGCAAACTTTGGTTTCAGAAATTGAGCAATTGGAATAATAGGATATGGGAATGAAAATTTATCTCAAACAACTGTTTGAGTATGAATTAAATCAAGTCAATGAATTCAAATAAGAATATTCAAAAGACCACCAGCTCAAGGACAAGAGACATGAAAATGAATTAAAACAATAAAGTGAATTAAAACAATCTTATTGCCAAGGAAGTGACTACATTTTAGGATTTATCAGAAGAAATATTACTAAAAGGAAAATTATGAGAGTAATTTTCACTCGAGAATTTTGTGGTACTAATGTATTATGATATATTGCTTATAGAATGTTAGATTTACCCAATATTGTTATCTTTATAAGAGTATAAATAAGATTTTTTTGTATTATTTTTTGTATCTCATATGAACATAATTAAAAAATCTCTTAATGTCATTTTAAATAGTTTTTAAATGTTCTTAACATATCGTGAAAAAATATTAAAAAAAGTATATTTCTATTGTTAATATTAATTTTCATTTATTTTAAAATAAAAGGGTGAGGACTAGTAACTCTTTTATTTCTCTCACCAAACACACTTTAGTTTCTATCATTCTTCTATTTTCATTCCCTAACTTCTTCCTATTTTCTATTCATTTCATCCCTCTCTAATATTTTATTTTGAATAATCTATGTTATCTATTTAAATTTATTAGAAATAATAAATATTGGGATTATTTATCAATTTTAAGAAATTTTTTAGAATTTATAACTATTTTTATTGGATAAGAGTGGTTAATAAAAACGATTAAATATTTAAAATTTAAGTACTAATTTGATTATATATATCTAATATATGTTTAAGTTTATGATTGTAACATCCCAAATTAGAGTAGTTACCATAATCAGAATTAATTACATTAAAACAGTAAAACAGTGCAGTCTTTACAATAATGGATCAAGGTTCAAAAGCCGAACGGCTTGGTTACAAAAATAACGAACGAAAAACATGAACAGGGATAAACTGGGAGGAACGGTTTTACAAAATATTTAACCGAACGTCAAAACTGAAATTAACATCTACAACCCTAATCTAAACTAGCGCTCTAGGGCTCGGCCTTGACTTCCACCTCGACAAGATTTTCTTCTTCAATGACGTCCTCCAGAGTGGCCTCGCCTTCTGCTCACATCCACACGGATGATCATTGCAAGACAGGACGAACGTACATAGACAGTTTGACAACACAAGGAAAAACGAAAGGGTAAGCTTATATAATTTAATTCATACAATCAACATATTCATCCAACATTACAATTCACATATACAGCATGTAACTTAACGAAAGATAACATAGAAATATATATATATATATATATATATATATATATATATATATATATATATATATATATATCAAAATCCTTAAAAATTTTCACATATGAGAGATCTCACTAGAAAAAATATCAATTTTAACATGATATTCTCAAATGATAAAGTCAATCTAACATGAAAGATAATATTAAATTTATTTAAAATATATTATAATTAAATTGAGTTAAAAAATTATAAAAACTAAAATAAATCATACAGCTAAGAATTAAATTGCTAATTAAATCATATTTAAAATAAATAATAAAAAGCAATTAAAGCCCAATCAGAATTAAATTACTAATTAAGTCCTATTTAAAATAAATAGTAAAAAGTAATTAAAGCCCAATCGATTGAGAAAAATCATATTTAATAATTTGGTCATACTTAATTATTTAGCAATTGGATCTTTAGAGGGAAAGTCATATTAACAATTTATGGTTGCGGGTTAATACTGGGATTTCATCCTTGCATAAGAACAAAAACAACTGTTTCTTCTTGCATCTTCAAAATTAATAATTGCACCTACTACTAAAAAACATTAAAATATCCCTTTCATAAAAAATACGTATTTTAATGTATTTATGTGTTTCTAAAAAACTTATTCCAAAAAGCATAAAAAACTTGTTCCAAAAGTCCTGTTATAGAAAATTTCTTTCCTAATCTATTTCAAGTGTGCTGGTATTCTCATTCCCAAAATCATATGTAGAAATTATAAACAATTTTTTTCGAAAATTTTTTAAAACCGATAAATAGAAAATCACCTTTGTGAAGGGTAAAATGGTTATTTTGAAACTTAGGAATGTTGTATGAAAAAATTGTGCCATAGCAAGAAGCAAAAGCCTAACAAAAATAAACAATTAAAACTGGATCAGCCTTGTTAGGCTCTCGCCAGGTTCAGTAGAAAAGAGACAAAAGCCCAAAATCAATGGAAGGCGTTAAATATAAGTGGGCTGAACAAGAATACAACGAAGCCTGTAAAAAGACAAAAGGGTAAAAAAAAAGAGAAAAAAAAAGTAATAGATACAATAATAAATGATGTAATAAATAAATGTAACGAGAGATAGGAAAAATACATAGAATTGAAAAAAAAGTATATACCTATAGTTACCTTTTAATCAAACCCAACCAAATGTTTTTTTTTTTTTATGTAAGGTTATATAATAATTTATTTTATTATCATTTCAGGTTATTGATTTCATTTATTTTTAGTTTAGTGTTTTGTATAAAATTACTCATATAAAATTGTAAAGTAAAAATTAGAAAATCCCGGCCCATAAAATAAAAGTAAAAGTAAACTTAAATGAAACTCCAAAAATAAACCTATCACATAAATTTTTGTGATCCAATATTTTTATATTTGATACGTAAGAAGTAAAGAAATAAATTAATAGCAGAGACAAAAAAATAATAATAATGTAGATTGCGGCAAGCAGAGACATGCTGAATTCGGTTGAATATTTTAACCTTGGACGATGAAACATGAATTTGTGTCCCTAAGCAACAAATTAGGAATCAACGAAAGCATATCCTTTTTTTAAACTAAAAGCATTCTAATCGAAGCACCGAAAGTGGTTGAAAGCACACACTGTAACAGTGAAACAGAGATGAGTGGAATAATCAGTGGGTTCCCCTGTTTTGGACCTGTATCCCGTAGTTCCACAAATTAGCTCCTTTCGGTAGATCTTGCACCATGCTTTTCTCCCAACACCAATGGAACCTTCTCGAAACTTGGAACAGGTCAATGCATTGGCCAACCGTTTTTTATTAATTAAACCCACTGACTTATTCAAAATCTCCACATAGTTAAAATGTGAACGGTTAAGTTATATTGTTGTAAGTGCAAAATGTGGTTAGAAAGTTCCGAAATATTTATATTACTTCGATATCAAAAGTAATTTAATATTTGATAGTTAATAAATAACGTAATAATAAATATACATAATTTTTCTCTTTTTCTTACACTTTTATTTACATATATTAAATTTTTTATTAATATTAACCTAATTATGATTTAATTATGAATAATTATATTTTACTTTTAAGTTCATTCGTTTTAATATTAATTTACTCAATATAATTTATAATCAACCGATCTATTTAATAATTGTCGGGTTAGTTGTTCTACTAATTGAATTCGTTATTAGTTATCTAAACTCATACATGAACGACGAGCTTGTTTGACAATATTGGTCAATGTTGATGATTTATACGGTACATTAATTAATCACCAAACTATAATTAACCTTCAGGTAATAGTCATACGGTGCATCAAATATCCAAACTTAAAATCAAAGTCTCTTCTTACTTTGAATCACTTTGTTCCAAATTATTCTTTTGTTTGACCTGGATATTTTCTTACATGATTATTTTTAGCTGATTTATGGCCCACAATAATCTCTCCACGGTTTCAATGAAACTTTCCTATTGGTTAGTGTGCCAAAGAAAAAGAACCCATTATTCAACTGTGCAAAGACCGCAAGCATTCCAATTCAAAATCAAGCAAACAATGGTCACAAAAAGCGAAACTAATTAAAACATGTTTTTCAGTTATAATAATATTAACCAACTGTATAATACTCATTGCTATATAAACCCTGAATAACCAACAAAGGTTGTCACCCGAAACCAAAGACACATAAAGTTGGCAGCAATTTAGTGTGAGAAGAGAATGAGTGTGGAGGTTTTAGACGGCACGACCATAGTGCGTTTCGTGGAGGACGAGGAAGCGTTCGGAGAGTGTGTGAGGGAGCTGTTCTGGCAGCTGGACACGGACAAGGATGGTGTTCTGTCGTACGCGGAGATGCTGAAGGAGTTGCAGAGGATGAGGGTGTTGGAGATTCATTTTGGCGTGGACGTGAAGCATGAGCCTGAGGAAGTGGCACGTGTATACGAGTCTATGTTCTTGCAATTCGACCATGATCTGAATGGAAGGGTTGATATGGAAGAGTTCAAGGAGGAAACGAAGGAGATAATGCTTGCCATGGCCAATGGGCTTGGGTCTGTTCCTGTTCAGATGGCTCTGGAACACGATAGTCTTCTCATGAAGGCAGTTCAACGAGAGTGCTCCCCAAAAATGTCTGCATAGAGAACCAAATCAATATCTGTCACTCTATTTATACCCGCTTTATCATTTAGTTTTTTTTTTTTTTCATTCATGCTTTCTCTTTTTTCTGTTTTTCTTTTTTAAGTGAAGTGTGAAGTTTTGTCAGAAAATTACGGAAATCAACAAAATTTTAAAAATTACGAGATGTGTAGGTAAGTTGTCTAAGAAATTATATAAAAAAATCGTGCATCTTCACAAGTTTGCTTCTTTGATCACTTTAATTTTTGTCTTATATTGAAAGTTTTTTGAGGCCTTGAGACTTCAATACAGAAGTCGTTAGGGATTGGAGACTTTGAATTTTAAATAGAAAGTCGTCTGGGGTTGACGAGATATAAGGAAAAGTCGTTTTGAGTAGACGATTTTCAAATTGGTGTGTTGAAATTTGGAAATTGTGTGGAGGTGCACAACTTTAATGTTAACTGGTATTTTAGTGTCTGCATGGTAATCGATTAAAGACACTTGGTAATTGATTATAACTTCAATTTGAGTTTATTTCGTCCTCCTGTTGTTGTTACTATGGTTGTTTCAGTAGTATTTTTGGTTTCTATCTGTTAATTGATTACAAACATTTGTATATTTTAAAGGAACAAGTTTAAATTGGTTGTTTTTCTAAAATTATGTTTTTTATAGTATATAAATTATTGTATGAAAATAAAAGAATTTTTTACATATGTATTAAAACTAGTAATATATCTTATTAAGTAATATAGTATATATTAAAATTAATTTATTATGTATATTTTATCTGTTTAGGAACCATGGTTTTTACAAGAAGTAGATTCAAAGATTTGAAATGTAAATATATATTAATAATAAGTTATCAGCTAGACGTTTACCATGCTTTTTCTCCATGGTGATTTAACCTAAGAAATCTATATGAAATCTCCTTTTATTTTTGTCCTTTTAATCTTAATCGTGTTTGCAAGATTTCTCCAATAAATAGAATCACAAGCTGACATGAGTTATTATCTTTTGGGTATATACAAAGTTGAACTAACCCTTCTTTGTTTATCAAACATTCTCCTTTTACAATCACCATCATGTTAGTATAGGTTGATGATATCCTTATATTTGGAAACAACTTTTATAAAATTATCACGTGATGATATCCTTATATTTGGAAACAACTTTTATAAAATTACCTCTGTTAAGAATCATTTTCATTAAGTTCTACATTAAAAACTTTGGAGATCTCAAATATTTTTTGAGTTTTGAAATTGCTAGGTCTAAAGTTGCATTGTGTATAAATCACAGAAAATATTGTCTTGAATTGATTTATGAAACTAGTATGTTGGTATGTAAACTAGCCACTACACCTTCTGATCATTCTATAAAACTGCGTGTTGATGAAGGAACTCTCCTCACACATCCTTCTTTTTAGCGTTGTTTAATTGGAAGGTTAATCTATCTCACCAATACGAGGTCCGACATTCCTTTTGTCGTCCAACAACTTAGCCAATTTGTCTCTTCTCCATGACGACCTCATATGCAACAAGCCATGAGAGTTATTAGGTACTTAAATGTTCCTAGTTTTAAATTGTTATATGTTGATAATTCCTTTAGAGTTTATGCTTACTCTAATTCTTATTCAGCCACTTGCTACCACTATAAGATATATCTCTAGTTTTTGTGTCTTTTTTTGGAATTGCTCTCATATCTTGGAATTCAAAGAAACAAACCACCGTTTCTAAATCCTCCTTTGTAGTCGAATATATATCCTTAACTTCTCTAACTTATTATGAACTTCAATGGTTATACTACTTTTTAAAAGATTTACATATATTGTGTTATACTCTTACTCAGTCTATTATGACAACAGTTCTACTATCTACATTGCAAAGAATATGAGAAAACCAAACATACAAACATTGTATTATTAGACAAAAGTTTCAAGATGGTCTCATCAAACTTCTTCTTCATATGTCTTCTACCAATCAAGTTGTTAACATTCTTACAAAGTTTCTTTATTCTTCTTCATTTAATACTGTTGTATCAAGCTAAATATGTATATTATTCATGTTAATCTTGAAAGAGGAGGATACAAAATAAAAGATATTTTCTTATGTTTCTCTTATTGTTAATTATTATTATTAATTGTTATCCACTACAAGAAATGCGTTAATTACCGAAGCCTTATTACCGAAGGCCTTTAGACCGTCGGTAAATAACGTTTTCCGAAGGCTTGTGAGCCGTCGGTAATATGTTCGATTAATTAGGGCCAAAAATAGGATATTCCCATTCTCGAATTCATTTCGCACCAAAGTAGTAATCTTCGTCTCCTCTCGAAGCTGGCCACGAAAACCCCCTTCCCCCTTGTCTCGAAACCCTTCGCCCACAAAACCCTTGTCCTTTGCATCAATCCTAAGCACGAAACCTTGGAGGAGTGATTTGCAGTCATCCCTGTCCCAGCTGCCAGTGTGTTTTTGGGCTGTATATCGCAATGTGGTGGGTTGGGAGGCTCTATTGGAGTTTAATTATGAAGAGAGGGTTAGAAATAGACTAATGCAAGTGATTGTAGAAACTAAAGAGTAAAGAAAGGTGCGAGTGCAAGCTAGGAAGCATTTCGGGTTGAGTGCGAGACGGGTGAGGTTACGGAGTTTGGAGGAAACATTTTGCGGAGAGGGCGAACACATTTTCCAGGTATGGAGAGCTATTAATTCCTTGTTTGGATTAAACGTAATGGATGAAATTTGGTTTGAGTTGGACGAAACTAAAAATCAAATTTGTATCTTTTGAGTTTAGAATATTGTATGATGGCTGGTGATTATTG